TGTATAAGTTTTGACATGCATTAGTAGTTTTGGGGGCAAATACAAGACCAGGGGTAAAATGTTGAGGATGAGAAATCCTGGTGGTCAGTGGTGACCTCTGTGGTGACCTCTGTGGTCAGTGGTGACCTCTGTGGTGACCTCTGTGGTCAGTGGTGACTTCTCATTGGTCCAGAGTGACTTCTGCTCCCAACACTGAATCCATGTTCTAACAAAGGGTTAATTTCGGTTTAGTGGGGACGGGTGTGAGCGACGTTTCTATCTGGTGTGTGAGAGTGTGTGTGTGTGTGTGTGTGGTCAGGCCCGGCCCGGCCCAGTCCAGCTGTTCTGTTCAGTTCATTCCAAGTTGTACATGCGAGTCTTTACATTTTTGTTTTTCCAATAAAATATCATGAACGTACGACTTGGTTTGATGTGTTTTATTCTAATAATAACGTCTTGACCTTTGACCTCTCATTTCCTTTGAGCTCTTTGACTGTTGTTTTTATTTCATGTCACGTTGACCTGTGTTTTGTTGACCTTCTAGAACCTGATGATGACGTCACAACCAACAGCCTTTTCTCAGTCTTTTTTTTGCACATCATTTGTCTCAATCTCCCTGACAACAAACTAAATCCATGTTCCATGTTACGACCGTGTTCCGCGTCTGTACCGGACCATCACACCTTAAAACCACTGCGATCAGTCGACGAGGTCGACCACAGAACTGCCTGAGTAAAACTCTTAGGGTTAGTAGTCGGGTTAGAACCAGACTAAGACTCAAATGTTGCAAATGACTGAAATCAAATAGTGTGACATTGAAAAGACGGGAGTGAAAACGAACACACGGCTAGCTGCAGCTGTTAGCTACAGCTAGCCTAGCTTCATAGCAGGGATTTTAGCTAAAAGAATGGACGTTTTTTCAGCCTCGTTCCAGTCAGGATGAAGTCGATAACAACAACCTTTAGAAGGAATGTTCTGTCTGTGAGAGTGTGTGTTCACGGGAACGTCTCCAGATTATCTCTGGGCGTCGCTAGGCAACAGCGCAGACGAGACGAGGAGACGAGGTGGTGACAGAAACCTGGGAAGTGAAGTCGAGTAAAAAAAGATTCAAAATGTTTTTTTTCTTTAACATCATACTCTGAAAACACAAGTCTTTACATTACTGTCTGAAGGTTACCCTACACCCTGGGATGGAGCCTGGACGGTTTCCCCACATTGTCTCGTCGGTCTACGTCCTCCCCGGAAACTTGGGGTGAGTCTCAAAACTAAAGTTTTTTGTTTTTTAATTCCAGTTTTAGACAGAGGTGAAAAGTATTTTTTGAATTACATTTACTCTTGTTACTGCAATAGAGTGATTTTGTGTGTACGTGTGTGTGTGACGTTTCAGTGACGTAGAGCAGAACCAGAGCACAGTCAGAAATAACACAAGTGCGTGATTTGAATTACTGTTGTTCTCTGATGAAATCCTCTTCGTTCCTGGATAACAGACCAGCTCCTGGTTTGTTGTAGCCGAGAGCATGATCCCTGCACGGACAGTCCCTGCAGGACTAAATGTCACGTTAAAATGATAAACAAAAAATGAGATATAAGATGGTGATAATAAATATGGAGGGCGGGGCCTCATGTTGTAGCCAGGTCGTTAAACAGCTTACATCTAAGTGTTTGTATTTGAATTCTTGATTAAAATCAACTCATTGCAGATTGGATTTGTAACTCATCCTTTTTTGCATCAATTAAGTAGTTCACATTTTGACAGAACATTTTATAAAAAACATTTAGAAAACTGGCAACTGTACTCTAAACTCTAAATGCCCTTATTTTAGGAGAAACATGCAGGAAAGATAACATTTTTAAAAATAATTTTACAAAGATTTTTTTGTCAAAAGTTCTTAGTTTTTGACCAAAAACAACACAAAAACTGACATTTTGACAAAAACTTTTAAACAGAATAATTTGAAAAATGTTCTCTAACGTGCACTAATTTGTTAAGAAACATGCAGGCAAAGATACAATTTTGAAAAAAAAAATTACAAACATTTTCATCACAATTTCTTAGTTTTTGAACAAAAACGACATGAAAAACTGACATTTTGACAAAAAGTTTTAAACAGAATCATTTGAAAAATGTTCTCTAACGTGCACTAATTTGTTAAGAAACATGCAGGCAAAGATACAAT